TAACCTGGAAAGTACGTATACACGTGACTGGATTCGCCGGAAAACTCCACACTTATCATACTCTTAAAGCACCCACAGCAGGGAGGTCTGTGTGACAGCTAGACTACCAGGACGATACCTCAGTGCCTTATACAACTTCTGGTGTGGTGTAGCACCAATAAGACTAGAGAAACGTGTGTGCCCCCTGTTTATGAACTCCAGCATTGACGACAGGAGGCATGTATTGCTGTAGTGTTTTATGACGAATCTCACATGTGAGTTACACCAAGAAGACAGAGCCATCACTCAATATTTAAAGGCGTTGACAGATATTGACAAGCTCTCAGAATGTTTTTTTCCAATGATCACTTTATATTTAAATGTGAAAAAAACGTGTATAAATATCCTCAAGAGATGCAGGTATTTACTGTATAAGTAATATATCTTTATATTTATTTATTTATTTATTTATTTATTTATTTAATGTTGATGTATTTTACCTGTCTGTCTGTCTGCATTGCTGCTATATCGGCAATATACGACCAGTACCACCAGTCAACCGTCAGGATCTGGAGACATTGCAACGGATTGTCGCTAACGTCATCAGACGTTTTGCGTCATCGGTGCGGCGACGTATTGTGGCCTGCATTGATGCAAGATGTAGACATATTCAATAGTAAACCGGTGATATAGGACTTAGAATTGACTTTCAAGTCTGTTGTTACACATGTGTTTTGCCAATTGCAATATGAAGGAACTGAGTTTAACCCTCTGTATCTTTGTGTCATTGTTATTCGTTTAGTTTCCACTTTTATAGAGTGAAATCGTGTTCACATGATGCTAAAGGGCCACTCCCCTTTTTATTTGTTTGTTGTTTAACGCCACACTCAGCAATATTCCAACTATATGACGGTGGTCTGTAAATAATCGAGCCTGGACCAGGCAATCAAGTGATTGGTATCATGAGCATCGATCCACGCAATAGGGATACGATGACATGCATCGACCAAGTCAGCGACCCTGACCACCCGATCCCATTAGTCGCCTCTTACGACAAGCATGGGTTGCCGAAGACTCATTCTAACAGGGATCTTCACAGGTCGTATTTTCTAAGTGATCTGACGATCAGGTCTCAGACGTTAACCACTTCGGTGAAATCCACGAGCACGTTATGGTGCTGACAAACCTAGAAACATAATCGGGGAGAACCGGGATTCGAACCCACTATCATAGGGTTCTGGCGTGCCGAAGGGACGCAACTCTGCACAGCGAATATACAAATATGATACGATATACATTATGATTGGCGCATACATTGCCAAGGGACAACATCAAAACCCAACCTTCAACAGCTTTAATTCTTCAAAGCATTGATATAAAACTTGCAGGACACTTCAAGACAATGAAGATTTATCTGAGTTCATGTTTAACGCGTGTATTTTGTAGCAAGTTGACATGATCAAAACACGAAGTCTATACAGCTGGAAGTGCAACAGAGTTATCAATCCCTGAAGTGTACTGTCAAAACAAAACTGGAGCTAACAAATAGTCCATGTTATCATTATCCACGTGGTGAAGATACAGGTGGTAAGATACTTAATCCGTATGTACGTCACACGTGTGTCGTACAAGGCTGGCCTCGTTCTATTCGTTTTGATTGGATGACCGTGACCTCTGTCACACCGGGACTACTTTTTGCATTCATAAAAAATCACGAGGCGTCATTCACTTTTACAACAAAAAGGCAGAACTGATTCTCAGAAGGAATCTCATGAAAGCGAGAAACATTTGCGCACACTTTATTGAACCAAACAAGATCGTCACACGCATCTAATTTGCTTTGCAGTCTATATTAGTTATATAATAGAGCTATATCCATATGCAATGTAAGACTACCGATAGATCGAGGGACCCTATAAGCGTGACTCACCCGACCACTTTCGCGACTTTCAATTTTAATTAACTTAAAAAGTTAAGCATGGTGAAATGAAGTCAGTTTAAACTATCTGGACAGATATCTAGACTCACGTTGGGTGTTCCGGTCTTGCCATCAGTGTCCCCATTCGAGGCGTATTTTGTTCCGAAGGTGTTTGTTCATGAATCAACGTTCACGACTGCACGACCAGATCACTCAAAGTGAACGGTTCCGATACAAATCATTCGAAAACTCCGTGGAAATGTGCCTGATTTCTGTTTTTGTGGCCCAAAACATCCCAAATGTGAAAATAACATTCCCTATCTCTAGTGTAAAACGCTATGAGTAGATCACGATTGTCTCTTCTTATTCCGACGATGACCTTGCCCTTAGTTCGAAGCTGTCTCTTACATGTAAGCAGACACTGAGTTTGTTGATCTTCACGTCTTCAGTAGAGGGTCGCACAGTTCACATATCGAGCGAGCAGCATTTTGATTTCCCGGGTCCCGTCGGTGCGAAGGATCGAGTGTGGTTCCGAGATTCAACGCGTGGCGCTAATGACGTTTTAAGTTTTCTTACATTTGTCATGCGTACTAACGACAATGCACTTGAATTACCATAAGTTGAATAATTTAAAAAAATAAGATCTTGGACGTTGACGCTGTCAGGTTTGCACACACAACAGCAGGAACATGTTGTTAATGCGTATGCATAGAAATGTCAACAATGTCCATATTTATTCCATATATCAATGCTCATTTGCAACCAGATTTTGCAATCGGTTTCAGATTGGTCTGTTAGCGAAAGAAAGTTGTTATGTTTTTACACTTAAATACATATGTGACGTGGGTAATAAATGAAAAAAAACCCATTCATTCTCGATTGATACTATTTTTACGAAACTCGTTAAATTGCTTTTGTATCTGACGAGAATGAGTGTCGTATTCTCTATTTGCTTTACAAATCAAATACAAAGCAGGCCCCTGTGTTTTCACAAATGTGGGCAACGCTTACGTCACATGTTTTCTCAAGCACACTCTCATGGCAGGCATTGGAGTCTTGTAACTGCTATACCCCCAATATACCCCTAGATAATTTTACAGACATATGATTGGATGAAAATGAAGGTCAAGGTCACTCAGTTTGGACATACACGTGTGTGTTTATGAGTGGAATTCGGCGAGACTGTTAATATGAACTAAATAATCAACTCAACACCTGTAATATAACCTGGTTTTATCAATGTCACTTTGAAGATGATTCATCAATGAAGATCAATGATAGATCATTTCATTCAGGAAGTATTGTCGGTGTGATATGGAGACATTGCATCAAGTTGTGTTTTATGGGGCATGATCGAGGAAATCGTTTTAACTTTATGAACACAAATCAGTAACATAAAATCGACTCATATCTCAGTTACACCGTACATTTACTCAATAATGAATTCATTTACAGGAGACTTATAACCCCTCCACACATTATCATAATGTTTCAGATTAGTCTGCCATGCCAAGTGTGTTACCCAGGTGTTGATAAGCCGAACTGTCGCAACTGAGTATTAGTACTTATACAGTTGCTGTAGGCAACACAAAACATGATTTGAATTTATATGTGGTTTGATCAAATTTCATGACAGTTTGGGATACCAAAACATGCGATGTATTTAATGCGCATGTTGTTATGTGGATTAGGTTAGTATAACGTGTTATCTCATAAGGCTTAGGCGAAACGTCCAGCTTTACAGTGCGTTCTGTTTACAACAGTATAAAACCATAACTGTGAACCGGCTCACCGTTAACTTTGGGAGGCTGGCTTTATGGCGGAGACAGGAGCTGAACAATTTCAAAGTCTGCAGCATGTCCAGCGAAGAATTTTTCTTTTTATTAACCCTACTGCCGTATAATAATATCGACAACACACTCCTGATGACTAACTATTAGTGACTAAGAGTGGAAATTCGGAAACAACCATTGATGTATACATCCTCAAAAATGTATTTAAGAATGGACGGATGTCATGCATGAAAATCCAAGATACCAACGCCGGAGAGTAATCTAGTCTATCTGCCGAAACAGATTCCGTAGCACGTGAAGTATAAAATGATGAAAATATTATCACTGGATCACTTATGACACCTGATGTTCCTTAGTAAGGGAAACACACATGTTCGCTCTTCATATAGTACCCGCTATTCACATAAAAATTTAATTTCATGGTAGAGTAAGAATAAGTATGTGAAAACTCTATCTAAAGGCCATAGTATGGGACAGCATCGTGCATCATTGTGACATGTGACGTGTCATATTTCGTGAATTCCTTTGAATGTTTGCCATAAGGAATCTGTGCCCTTCTGTTTGTATATTTATACTGGACTATTCCATTCGTATTATACAAGACATTAGGCTGTGGATGAGTGGCGCGCTCACATCATACACATGGGTGATTATAAGGTGCAGATATTTATCAGTTATGCATTTTACGAGTGAAACCTACATGTGCCTCATATCTGCATCTTTACAGTCATGACAATCAATAATATTCTCATTCCTATCATGGATTAGCGAGCACATGGCAGGTGATTTAAAATCTGCAAGATGACAGAGACTATCTTGACAATACAAATTGTTACAGCCCACAAACAAGACAACCATTCGTTAAAAGACAGGCTGTTCAAAATAGTTTCTCCATAAATCTTGTATATATCCCATATAGTGATGTCCTTCTATTGCTTGGTTCAAGAGGAAAAGTGTGGTGTTAAGAATTAAAAGGAAACATAAAAAGAAAGAAAACAACTAGAACTTCAACAGACTCGCTTTATCGTTCAGGGAAGCACCTCCTACACAAAGCTTGTGTCGACGATCGACGTCCATATTACAAATTAGTCCCTCAAAAAGGGGAAATTAGCTTCACAAATATCTGCAGTAATTCTGCGTACTCATCACGCAGCTACGCGGTAACAAAATAAAGGAAATACAATTACTGTCTTGTGCGTCCTTTCACAGAACATGTATTCACTGTAAATATACTGAACCACGTCTCATTGTAACCGTATAACTATTCATATGAAGTATTTCCAGTTTGTGACTAGTTTTATCTCTTGCAGAATGAAGTTGCTCCTACTTGCCTTGCTCGTTGCTGTGTGCCTGGAGGATAGTACACAGGCATCGGGTGGAAAGGTAAGTGTCGATCCGTTAACCAAATAATGATACATGTATCGAAATCAGTACAGAAATGTGGATGTGATAACTGAAGCATTGTACTCCAACTTAATTTACTTATGTGGTGTCAGTATCTAAAATATAACGTCAATGTACGTTTAGCATCCTTACTGTGTGTTCCACCCGCCAACTAAATTTCAACATTTGTGTTGTTAGTTTGGGTGTTTAAATATGAAAGCAATGTGCCGAAGAACTTTGTTTTGCTTTGAATATTGACTATTTGCGTGTCTTTTGTGTACATTCTACGATATAAGTTCGCGGAGTATTTTCATAAACAAGATGCTTCCGTTCTCGCTATGTGACGGGCTTCGAACAAAATAACATTATCATATGAAACATATTTTAAGTATCAAAGAACACGTTGTCAATGCCTTACTAAATCAAACCTTGCTTTCAGTTTAAGAATTGCTACACGATTGTTTCACTGAAGCCTTTCTGATCACCTCTGTCCTTGTGTTGCTCACATGGCTGAGAGTTCCATGTGAGCTTACTGTGTATTCATGCATTATCAGCCATCCGCCAGATTTAAACTTGACTTTTCCGACAATTAAAACAAGGCCTGCGGGCTGAGCATTATGTGACTGATCCTGACCATGTCCTGCATCCGTATTCTCATACATTAACCACATGCTCTGATACCACCTAGTTGACCAAACTGAAATGTTAATGATCCCAGCTGTCTCATAATGTTCTCCCCCAAAATCTGATATTATTTTGATACTCATATCCAACTAAGCCATATCTCCATGTTGATATGCGATGTGTATGTGATATGTGAAAAATCTGTCACCGCGTGTACGCATTGTTAACTTGCCATTGGTTTACTCGCATGAAACTGCCGCTATTATGAAATTGCACAATCAGTTATACTTGCAATGTTGTTTTGCTGACCTTCTCATACATTATAACATTGAGTGTTAAATATCGTAGTTGGAAGGTGACTTTGCATACCTTCACATGAACTACGGTAAGCCGTCCTTCCGGTGCTGACGATTTGGGATGAGCGACAGGTACATTGTCAGTACCAGAGGGACCTTGGATCTTTGTTACCGTAGTTCTCCCAGCAATCAGAAAAGGAGTTTTTCTTTTAACAGCTTTTATTCACACTTTGTGTTACATGTCAACCCACTCTATTTGTCACTTAATTTAGGGACTTCGGCCGCAAAGCTTCAGTCTCAGTTGAAATGCTGGTGCCGAAGGTTGGTTTCTGGTTTGAAAGATCGTGACAACAAGGCGAAAGCGGGCGCGCACCAGACTCCCAGATTTCGGGGTCGGCCCTAACCTTAAGAACCCGGGTTCCTACGTCACAGCAATCATATTGATCGTTTCCCATTAGTCGGTAACCTTTTCCCCCACCAACAGACCATTCTACCTTATTCATAGTTCTTTTACCATGAGTCCGTATTTGGTCCTCTGTAAAATAAAGTCCACGATTTCTAGGATTCTGAGCTCGCCTCCCTAATACCATATATGTTTTATTTCTTTGTCGGTCTCTTACCATTTCTGCTCTATTCATGGCAGTTAAGATGTTTTTTTTCTAACGTTAATACTCTTACCACCATATCTGATAGATCCCTTGCCCTCGTGGCCTGGTGCTGCTCTCACCTCGGAGAGATTGATATCTACTCAAGGACGACACCTACTCTCGTCATAATAACTGCCATATATATATATATATATATATATATATATATATATATATATATATATATATATATATATATATATACTAGCCACTAGCCACATAAAGAAACTGTGCACGGAGAAAATATATTCTGGATTGAAATACAACATAGCAAGAACAAAATGATGCAGACGCTGTAGCAGCTGAATGATCGGACCATTAGAAAATGTCAACGGGACCTGAACAACATCTGATACGATGACATCAGAAGATCAAAATGGAGTAGGGGGTCAAACGACAAAGTCACAAAGTCAATAACGGGTATGACCACCCTGTGCGTGAATCACAGCAGTGCATCGGCGACGCATGGAGTCCACCGATTGGGCATGGAAGGCCTGGGGAATGGCCTGCCATATCCTCCTCAAATCCTGTGCCAAGTCATGGACGTTATCTGGAGGATGTGGAAGACGACGCAGACGGCGCTCCATTTCATCCCACACATGCTCTATTGGGGAGAGATCTGGAGAATTTGCAGGCCATGGCAGTAACATGACATTGTTATGGTGAAGGATATCCATTGCGACCCTAGCCGTGTGAGGACGAGCGTTGTCCTGTTGAAATGTCAATCCCGGGCCATGACGTTGCAGGAAAGGAATGACCACAGGCCTCAGAAACTGATCTCTGTAGCCAACACCGGTGACATTGCCCTGAACAACCACCAAAGGGGTTCAGTGCCGTGCTGTTATCCCATCCCAAATCATCACAGAGCCACCTCCAAAACGATTCCTCGCCACAATACAGTTGCGTGCATAACGTTCTCCCAAACGCCGGTAGACACGTTGGCGCCCGTCACTGTGGGAAATGTTGAACCTCGATTCATCTGTCAAGACAACATTTCTCCACCATATTCGAGGTTGGCGAACATGATTTCGACACCATCTTAGACGGTTGACTCGATGACGGTGTGTCAGGATGGGACGTTTGGCAGGGCGTCGTGGTCAAATTCCGTACTGACGTAAACGATTCCTGACTGTGTTGGGATGGATACGGCGCAGTCCAGGAATTGTCTGGGACGTCGTTACTGCCGTTTGGAACCTATGTAACCAAAGGGACGTCCTGGTCGGCAACCTCATTTGAGTTCTGATAACGCCTCACCAATGCCGATATCGTGTTACGCTGGCATTGGAAATGTGTTGCCACCTGTTGTTGCCTCATTCCCGCTCGGATCATTCCAATGGCTTCATGACGCTGTGCAGCTGTCAATCTTGGCATGATTTGCTTGTGATATGCTTGTGTCTGCGCCTGAGAAGTTTTTGAATTTTTGAATGACCACAGATCATGCTTTCCAAAGTGACAGCGAATTTTGAGTTGCACATGCTGTGTACAGCTGCACAGGATGCACGTGCAGTAACACATTGCACGTCCATAGGCCCCCATCAATGACGTCATATCGCATGGCACGTGCGTGAGCGTTTGCATGTCTCCAATAATTGCTGTGTTCAAACCTATATTTCATATGTGGACGGTGTGCCCTTATATCTATATTTTCTCCGTTCACAGTTTCTTTATGTGGCTAGTATATATATATATATATATATATATATATACATATATATATATATATATACATATATATATATATATAAATATATATATATATTTATATATATATATATTCCCTACTTTTCCATGACTCAATGATATAGCTTCCCTTTAATTATCTAATTATATATTACAATATCATGCCTGTAATACGACTAGGAATTTAAAGGATCTCATTGTGGATAGGTTTTCATGAGAGGATAGTGAAAAAAATACAGATGATTTCACGTAGATATGTATATACCCCGGTTAACTTTAATCAGTAAGCATAAGATGACGAGATGGATTCTTGTCAAAGGAGACATATACCCCGATCACTTGAATAAGTGAGCATAACTTGACGAGATGGATCCTTGTCAAAGGAGACATATAGCCTGGTTCACTTGAATAAGTAAGCATATTATTTTGTCAAGAACTAATGTGAGTTTCCTCATGTCAAAGTGCTGTTTATAGTGGTAATCAACGAGAAATAGCACATAATGAGGATGTCATGAAGGGCCTGCCTCCGTGTAAACTCACAACGAAACAAGCCACTGTTGCCGGGACTGACTTCTCATCTTATGCAGGGATTGCGGGAAGCTCTGTCAGTAAAAGACAGGACACCAATGATTATTGTCTTTACGATAAGACCAAAACTGTTGATAGCGTGTGAGGTTACAGTTAGAATAGCTTGTGGCCTTGTATTAGATAGAGGCAACAAACAGACATGTGGTTGGTAACCAACTACAACAACAAAGTTACATCAAAAGTTGGAATTCACAAGCGATCATGTGAAGGTAGGAGTCAGGCGGAAAGAAACACTATCTGGTATTACAGTTAAACCAATGTTATCAACATTACTTTTCGTTTAAAGAAAAAAGAGTCTCTTTGATCTGAAATGGAAAAGAAGCATTCAGTAACACAACAATTAAAGTTAATTTTACTTCAGCAGGAACCTTGGTGATGGTTGGAGCTTGCAAAGTGTTCAGACTGGTTCTGGTGAATGGACTGGAACGTTGGGAGTAGCATTGTCATTGTTGACGTCAGACTTGCTGCTTAGACATTGTTCGCTATTTTCAGCAGTGTTGCGTTGAGGGTTCGGCATCGGTCGACGAGGAGTACTCTGGTTACTTGGAGTCCTTGGCTTTAGAGTCGTATGTTTTGGTGTACATGGGACTAGATTCCAAACATCCTTTCTGAAGTCGCTCTGGAGACTTGTCACGGATAACAGCTTCCACTTTGGTTGGACGGATATGAATCCTGCTTCATCTGAATTGAGCACCTTCCTGTGCTTGAACTCTGTAAGCATCATTTTCAAGACAGTCTGTCACTTTACTCAGAACCAATCTACCATTCTCCTCTCTCTGGAAATATACATTCTGTCAAATTGACAGGAATATGCCAAGTCAGGAGCTGTTTTGTTGTAGTATTTCCGTACACACTCCTTTCTCCTTTTTGCTGTTGTGTTGCAAGTTGTGTTCTTGTATGTCGGCCAAACATCATTTGACAGGGACTAAGTCCTGTATCCTGACTAGGTGTGTTTCTTTGTTCCATTAGAGCTTCAGATGATCCTCACCATTTTTCAAACATTTCAGCATCATGTGTTTGATGACTTTAACTGCATTTGCCCGTTGGTGTTGTGGGGATGAAGTGATGTGTGAGATTTCCAAATTCTTGATAAACTATTCAAATTCACCGTCAGAAAACAATGGTTTGTGGAATCGAGCAAACTGTTTCTTGGGAATAACAACTA